CCTTTCTGTCAATTTATCCTCTCTTCCCAACGAAACCTCTTTCTTTCTTTCTTTTTTTTCCCTTTCTTTCTTTCTTTCTTTCTTTCTTTCTTTCTTTCTTTCTTTCTTTCTTCAGCAAACTTTTTTAGTTAATTTCAAAACTTCAAAACTTAAAAAATTTGTCAAGACAGTTGCCTTAAAATTATTTTTTCTCAACTTTTTTTCATTTTACAGTGCATTTAAACTCTCTGGTTGTAAAACTCTCAGTTTGACCTGCTGAGAGCCATTTTCTTATTTGTAATACTGAATTCAGCTGAGGCATTGGATTTAAGCAGACAGCAGTTAAGCAGTTTTTTCTGCAGACTCTATGTTCATCCTGCTGGTGCCGTCAGTAGTGACATCATCAGTCAATAGCAGCCGTACTTACGCAAAAAAACATGACACTGTGACAGTGGATGTGCTGCCCCTCCATTTTCCTCTGCTTTCATCTTTCCATCACTGAGATTGCGACTGATCTTTGTCTCATCTGACACTTTGTATTACAAACTGTGCCTTTCTATTCTTGAGGCTTATCATAGTGCATGTGTCACCCTTCTTCAATGCTCTGGTTGTTCAGTGGTTGTTGCAAGCAGTTGAATTTGACTTTAATGCTTCTTTTTTATTACCCTTACCTACCCTAAAATTAAGAGTGTGTACTAACTGTACACATTACAGTATAAAGCTGGCGTTATTATATTTTTCTTACTGTCGACAAATTTCATATAAAACCAAACCAACAGTGAATGTATCGATTATCAGGTACTGTGTGCATATCAAAGCCTGACATATCTCATTCCTCTGTCCCATAGAGCTCCATTGTTGTCTATTAAAAACACATCAGTGAGTCACACTGTTGCACTGGGTGACATGTTCCTTCATTACCATGAACCCACACATTGTAGTTTATGTTGACTCAATCCCACACACACCGTCCTGCAGCTGGAAATACTCAGAGAACCAAATGTCGATTAATCCACCAGTGAAAGAAGTCCCCAACAAATGCACCATTTGGGGTAACATTTGATAAAAGCTTCAATAACCAGCTGTTTTAGGGAATAAATTAGGCTTAAAAAGATAGATTTAATGTACTGTTAGATTTTCTGTAGGAACCAGTTGGTTTGAGGCTAGAGAAGTCACAAAGGATTAAGAAGTGAACTGACACTTGCTTTTTGTTTTTTGTTGAGAAGAAAGCTATAGAAAAATGTCAGCTTCAGTGCACAGAATTTGCACTATAGCATGATTGTCATCTGCTGGCACACACTTAAAATGAATGTTAAAGTTAATTTCAATTGTAACAACTTTACAAATTTAAGTAACTGCAACTACATTTTAAGTAATTTAACAAGTAGATATAGATAAATTAAACATAACTTAAGACTAACAAATCATTGACTTCCCTTTTTCCAGGTAATCAGTTTCCTAGATTGTTTTAAGTAAGATTTTACAGCGTACAAAGCCAAACCAAAACAAAAGAAAATCTTACGAGATAGGTTTTTTTAGAATCAGAAATACTCATTGATCCCCGGGAAAGAGAAATTGGTTGTGTTACAGTTATAAGAAATAGAAATAATAATAATGTTAAAATATGTGCATTATATTACATTATATAAGAACAATATATATAAAAAATAGAACAATTTAAAATAAGTGTGTCAAAATATGTACATTATACTACAGTATATAACAATATATAGAAAATAGAAAGATATGCAAAGTATGTATACTACAGTATATAACAGAAGTGTGATGACTACTACTACTACTACTACTACTAAGTACTGATGATGAGTAATTTAGAGACTGTATAAAAGTATGTATGACATTCATTCTGGACAGTGAGACAATTATCTTCTTATGTATACTACAGCATGATCATCAGCTATTTTAGCCAGTAGTTCCAGTATGGTTGTCATATTCTATCAATCAGATATGCACAAAACATTTTCCTAACTCAAGTTGTGATGTTGAAAGCGTTGATTTATAAAGATCTACAACTAATTAATTGAAACTAGAGCTGAAACTAGATTCCACTGTTCTGATATCTCATCTGTGAGTAGCTTCAGCTATGAATTCCCAAGTGCTCTCTTTTTCTCAAATTTGAAATCTGTATACCACACTATGTGGAACTCACACAGATAATTTTGTTATATAAGGTAACATGAGGCCATGGGGCTGCTGTGGTGCTTGAAAGTCAGCTGCCTACTGAGACTCAATGAATGTGACAGACATTTTACATTGACATAGAAAGTGGATATAAAGGTGCAGAGTGTAACATTTAGGAGGATCTACTGTCAGAAATTGAATATAATATTCATAGGTATGTTTTCATTAGGGTATAATCTCCTGAAAATAAGAATTATTGTGTTTTTGTTACCTAAGAATGAGCCATTTTTATCCACAGATAAGGCCGGTCCTCTTCTGGTGGAGTCCGCCATGTTGAACTGTCATGTTTCTATAGTAGCCCAGAATGGATAAACCAAACACTGACTGTATATAGGGTAACATATTTAATGTTTTTCACAAAATCCACACACATCATAGTTTCTCCTACACACTTCATCTCATTCGTGGTTAGTTAAAATCTACAATTTCACTACTAGATCCCACTAAATCCTGCATACTGGTCCTTTAATGTGGATCAGTCACATCATGACCGATACATAATCTACCTGATAATATCAGTTAAAACCAAGTTGATTCGAGTATTTCTAGCTGAAGAAAAAATAGGCTTTAAATGTAATTTTTAAAAGTCTTCTAAAAGTGTCTAAAAAGTCTTAAATTGAACCTGTTAAAACCTGAAGAAACCCTGAATAGAAACGTGGCGGACTCCACCAGAAGAGGACCTGTAGTAGAGGACTGTGTAGATAAAATGGCTCATTCTAAGGTAACAAAAACACAACGATTCTGATATTGTAATATTATATATTCCATTTCTACCAATAGATCCTCCTAAATAAACACTGGACTTTTAATCGATAATGAAAATAATAATTAGTTGCAGTCCTATTAGATATCTGTACAGCCGCTTCACCAATTTGTATAGCACACTGACTGCAGGTCATAGTTTTGTAGCTTCCCTTTCCCTTGTGCGGCCAACCTCTGATCTGTTACCCAATAGCTTCTGTTGTGCTCCAATACAAAGACTCATCTGTGAGCTCGGACACTGGAGAGAGGAGACTGGCTCTATGTCACTGCAGAGCAATAACAGGTTAAGGTGATATGGGTGAAGCTGTGCTTGTTTTAATAAGATTCAGGTAGCAGTGAGTCCTGGGGCTTCTTTTTTGCAGTGTAATGTAAGTTTGTTTTTCCAAAAGGAACAAAAATGTTGATTTCTCTCATTTGAGTGTCACACTGCTGTTTGGAACTGAAATACCCCCACATGAACCTTAGCGGTTGCTGCTTTGAACATCTGTTATCTGTCCTTCTCAGTCTTTTTCTCTTTCACTCTGTGCCTATCAGCTGGTTGTTTTCCCTCCTCTTTTCATCTCATTCTTGTTATGTTGTTATGTTCTTCTGCTCCTTCTCCCTCTCCCTGCTTGCTTGTCGTACGTGGCTGTCATCTGCCTGAAGGTGCCTGAAGCCTCCGATTCTCAGAATGTGATCAAGTTTCAAAAAAATGCAAGGAATGCAAGCTGCCCACTGCCCATTTTTCAAGGCCCTGTTTATGCAAGAATGTTATTTTTACAAGTCTCTACCTTTAACCCCCCTTCCCCACAACCCACACACACCACTTTCCTCCTTTTCCCCTCCATTACCCCGAACATCCTTTAAAAATACACATGGAGAATGGATAAAGAGGGAGCTGGGGTTGGATGTGGGGGCATTCAGCAAACAACAAAACAAAACAGAGGAAAAATTAGCAGCAGAGTGAGAGGGATAAGGAAAGAAACAAAAAGAGTGGAAAAGGCTGTGGCATCTATTGAAACCTGTAGATTTCTGTAAACAAAGCCCTTTTAACAATGCCTGTTGTTTTAAGCTGAGCTGACGTTGCCAAACTTAGAGATTGTTTGTTGCTGACCCCATCTGAATCAGAGAGAGCCAGTGGCAGCCCAGGGAAACAAAAGTGTCCCAGCGGCTGGATGGACTGGCTCAGTGTTTCAATCAGAGCAACTAAATAATCAGTCTGCGTGTGTGTGTGTGTGTGTGTGTGTGTGTGTGTGTGTGTGTGTGTGTGTGTGTGTGTGTGTGTGTGTGTATGTGTGTGTGTATGCATCATAGATACATTGTTTTATAGCTATAAAATGCTCACTGAATAGCACATACTAGACATTCAGGCCATTTTTCAAACACCTCATTATGGAAGTGTGATGTGTCTGAATAAGCACCCTGGTCACTTTTACAAAAAAGTCATGATGGCAGTCTTACTAGGTCTGACCTAGAAACATTTCTGTGTCTCTTCCAACCAAACCACAAGTCTGAATTGTCCGATGGCTACAAGGTAAACCGCACAACAGAGAAATTAAATGCACCTCTTGTTCTCCTTCTATGATGATTATCATCATCTCTTATGTACAAATAAAATCTGTCGATAATAAACCAAAACAATAAGCTACAAACACAGTGAATTAGATAGTTTCACATCGTTGATGAGTTCTTATAATCTCAGATCAGAACCACAGCAACAATTTGCCTGAGCTAAAAACAACCAATCAGAGCTAAGGAAAATAGTTGATTGTTGAGTTACGTTCCCAGCAGTACTTCATCAAGAATGTTTTTTATCTTACAAAATTGACTTTTAACTTTTACTATTTTTGGTTTGAAAAAAATTCAATTGTTCCGTTTCAGCAATTTTTTTCAGTTAAAATAACTTTAGCATTACAGTGTACAACAGCAGTTAGCTGCATGGAGGCAGAGCAGCTGGAGGAAGTCAGAGGCAAAAACAGAAAATATTTTCTCCATAAAATCCTCCTGGTGGAGCCTCCTGCCATGGTCCTGCTAGATTGCCATTACCAATACTGTTGTTGCTGTGCACCTGTCTGTCTGTCTGTCTCTCTGTCTCTGTCTGTCTCTCTGTCTCTCTCTCTCTCTCTCTCTCTCTCTCTCTCTCTCTCTCTCTCTCTCTCTCTCTCTCTCTCTCTCTCTCTCACCCCAACTGGTCGAGACAGACGACCACCCACCTAGAGCCGGAGGATCTGTCCTAGGTTTCTGCCTTTTAACAGGCAGTTTTTCCTTGCCCTTGTCACCAAGGTCTTGCTCATGGTGGTACTGTTGGGTCTCTGTAAATAATGTTTTAAAGAGTTCGGTCTAGACCTGCTCTATTTGAAAAGTGTCCTGAGATAACTTCTGTTAAGAATTGGCACTATACAAATAAAATTTAACTGAATAGAATATGATCCAGTTCCACCTAAATCACTGATAAAGTTGTGTTTTTGCACAGTAATGTACAATGTATAATAGTTAGGTCTGACCGTGCAGAAACACTCCACTCTGGTAGTGAGCTTTGCTGTAGCTGTATGCTAATGAATCTTCACTCTGTGTCACTAAAAGTTGAAAATTGATGGGTGGATGTCAAGATATTATTGGTTGAAATTGGTTGGTTCATACTTATGGTAAATGGACCTGTACTTGTATAGCGCCTTTCTAGTCTTCCGACTACTCAAACACTTTTACACTACCTGCCACATTCACCCTTTCACACACATTCACACAGTGATGGCAAAGTCCATCAAACAGAAACTAACTCATTCATACACATTCATATGATCAAGGAAGATGATGTTGACGACAGCAACGATGGTGGACAATGAGCAGTGATTACAGTAATAAAATTAACTGTAGTAATAATAATAATAATAATAATAACACTAATATCAGTGATATTAGCAATGACAGTCAAGCAGGACCATGGCAGGAGGCTCCACCAGGATCCATGAGAACCTGTGAGACGAAAAAGCACAAGAACTCCGGGGAAGAAGTGAAGTTAGTATAAGTGGTTGTAAAAGTGTGCACGTTTGTTATCTCCGCAAAAGCTCTGCTCTTTAAACATGTCGGAGGGTGAAAGAGAGAGAGGATTGGGGGGGGGAATTGGCGTGATGCCCACTGGCACTGTGCCCACATCTCCGGCTGCTGTGGAGCTCCGTGTCACAGCCAGGACTCCCTGCCAGAAGGGCTTTCCCCAGAATCACCTCTGCACACTCCTCCACACAAAAACCACATACCTTACACTCAGTCATGCTGCCCATGTGTTTAGTGTCAATATTTTGATAAAGCTCTGCCAACCAAATAGTATATCCTGTGCTATTGGTCTGGCTTGGCAGTTTTTTTTTTTACTGCTTAGCCTAACCCTAACCCTACTTTCACAAGTGCAATTTTAAAAGTTACTTGTACTTTACTTGAGTATTTCTATTTTAAAATAAAATAAAATATAATGCATTGTTCTCTCAAACCTATAGCAGTAGGTACATTAGATCCTGCTACGAGATTAAATTGCTTCAGGACTTCTACTTGAGTATTTTTGAGTAAAGAATCTCAGTATTGCCCATTAACTAATTAATTAATTACTTTCACACCCTTAGAAAGATAATTTTACACATGCACAACATTTCACTTATAATTTGGATGTTTAAACAATTTGATAAAAACATGTTTTCAGCTTTTTTTGATTGCAAACTTGAAAAGTACAATTTTATCCATTTCTCACTTGGTCGTGGCTCTCCGCTTCAAAATATGATGCTGTTGGTATCCCTCTAGCATCATTTCTAGACAATTTCTGTACAAGACCACATGTTAAATAACCAAAGTTGGAACTGTCTCTTCATGTGTGAAATAAAAATCACAAGTGAGTTATACAGAGCACCTTTTTTTAATATGTGAAGAATGTGTCCACGTTCCCCAAACTTTATTTTTCACATTTGCAACCAGTCGATGCATACTGTATATGATGGACAGAAAATTTACTTTAAAGCTGCAGTAGGTTTTGTTTTGTAAAATAACGGCGTAATGATATTCACAAGAATCCACCGAGCCTGAACGAAGACTAACAATCAGAGCGAATGAGACTCAAATATCAACTATCTTCGAACCTCCAACTCAAAGCATCTTTATGTCTTTCTCGGCTCTGTTTGGTTGGTTTTTTGGTAAGGCCCGATGCATTCTTGCAAATGCCAATTTTCAAGTTTTTTTTTTTTTAAACCTGCCATGAAATCGGGTATTTTAGGCTGCAACAAACCCCAAAAAGCCAGTGAAACCCCAGAGGGACAGACATCTTGACACACACCTGCAAACACATCTATCCTCATTCAAGAAAAAATGCAGACATGTTGATTATTATTGGCAGTCGGTGTGAAAGAGATCAAAGTACAACCACCTCCAACTGTTTTTTTCTTCACAAATTAGCGTAGAGAGACGCCCTGTTGGTGTTTGTTTGTGGAGCTGGTTCATTTTCTAATTAGTCTCCACCAAACCCCAACTGTCGTTAAAGGAAGGATGTGTGTTACCCAGATGTCTCCCTCAGTCTGATGGTACCAGGCTGGTGCTCGGAGCAGAGCGACAGACCGAGAGCGAGAGAGAGAAAGAGGAGCGAGGATGATATTGATGATAATAAAAACAGCTGTGGCTATGATGATAATGATAATGATGATGATGCTATTTTACTACTCTGCTAAACATGACTTTGCACTTTGATGTAGTTTATGTTTGTGGGAGGTGTCCCACAGTGTGTGCCAGCAACATATACACACTTGAGGACTTGGAGACTAGACTGCTTATTTTGGTAGGTGTCTCCTAATGTGTCTGTGGTGACCACAACAGGAGATGGAGGGAAGGGAAACGACTAGAGAAAAGAGGAGAAGATGAGGCTCATAACGAGGGCAGTTTTTTGTGTATGTTTGAATTGGCATGCGGTACAGAAAGAAGAGGAGGAGTGAAGGATGGAGGGTTGAAGAGATGAAGGAGGAGGATGGGAGGAAGAAGCAGAGGAGGTCAAAACAAATGCATGATGAAAAGGAGATAAAGCAAAAGGAAGTTGGTGCATGCACTTAACTGATAACTGTCTCTCTTTTTACTTATTTTATGAATTTTGGGTTTGTCAGTGTTTCCTCTTTGAAGAGTTTATCCTCCCTTTAAGTTCAACTGAAATTTGAATTCTTACTTTTTGGGAAAAACTTATTTTAAAAATGTTGCTGCAGGTATGGTGCATATTTAATCATTTTTCAAAACAGCTTATAAGTTTAAAGGTCCAGTGTGTAACATTTGGTTTATTGTCATAAATGTAATATAATATTCATAGGTATGTTTTCATTAGTGTATAATCACCTGAATTTAAGAATCATTGTGTTTTTGTTACCTTAGAATGAGCTGTTTTTATCTACAGAGGGAACGGGTCGCCTTTCACGGAGGCCACCATGTTGACGAACCATGTTTCTACAATAGCCCAGTAGGGACAAACAAACACTGGCTCTAGACAGGGCCGTTCACATTTTTCTTGCGTTTTGCAGCCACTATAGTCTCTCCTTTGCGCATGGAAGGGGAGGGTGAAGCGAGGTGGTTGTAATCTGCATTGACAGAACGCCGGTCAACTTTCTCCTTTCCTGTACTTAGGTATGCTATGTGCTAGGCTCATCTATGCTGAAAAGACAACCACATTTTGGTTGATGTTCATTTAGTAAATGATGGTCCCATTTAGAGTAAAATAGACAATAAAGCAGGGTATGCTTCAGGGCGTGGCTACTTTGTGATTGACACATTGGGCGGCTGTGGCTCAGAGGCAATAATTGGAAGGTTGTTGGTTCGATCCCCGGCTCCTCTCGCTGCATGTCGAAGTATCCTTGAGCAAGATACTGAACCCCTAATTGTTCCTGATGCTGTGCATCGGTGCGTGAATGTGTATGAATGAGTTAGTTTCTGTTTGATGGACTTTGCCATCACTGAGTGAATGTGTGTGAAAGGGTGAATGTGGCACGTAGTGTAAAAGTGCTTTGAGTGGTTGGAAGTATACAAGTACAGGCCCATTTACCATTTACCATTTTACACAGTGCTACGGAGTGATGAATGTATGTATACTTCCAGTGAAGTGATATGAAATGTATTTAGTTTCCACATCAAATGATCAGTACTGAAAGTGTCAGTCGGATGTACTGATTTTGTTACTTCTGTTATGTTTTTAAATGTTTGGATTTGAGTTGAGATTTGCAGGCCTGTACATTCATGTGGGATGTGTAGGCAAGGGCTGTTCATGCATCTATGCATCTGTGTGTGCGTATATGTGTGTGCATGTCTCAGAGTGTGTGGCCTGTGGTTTCACTAACAGACACATTCCCAGTGTCAAATAGGCAGCGTGGACTCAGTGTCACCCCTAACAACCTGGCTGACCCCTGCATCCTCCTCACCAGCTCAGCACAGCACAGACATAGCACGCACACACACACACACACACACACACACACACACACACACACACACACACACACACACACACACACACACACACACACACACACACACAGAGAGATATATTAGTAGAAGTTTAACAAGTAATGCTATTATTGTGTCTCTGATATGGCTAATATATATTCTAATATACCTGTAGTGTTACTGTGCTTTTGTATCTTAACCGCACAAACATTTGTGGGTAGAGACAGTTTTACAAGATCAGCTACTGATACCATGGCTGACGCCTTAAGCTCCACCATCAATGCATTCCTCTGTTGTGCCGCAGAAGGACGATTGATGCTTTTTGCCTGTGACTGTACAATTTCAGTAGATCTTATTTTGGAGATATGAAGAAATGTTTGCAGTGCTTGAGCTGGCTTATCGTAAGTTAATTTGAATGTATTTGTATGACATGGTGACACAAGTTGTGGGGTTTTTGCGTGCACTTTGCAGGGATCACTTATTATTACGAACATTTTCATTGGATTTTTTGTTGATGAAATTTTCTAGGTGAGGCTGTTTTTATTGTATTTTTGTATGTTCAGCTGCCATTTCTGCTCATGTCAACTACCCAGTTATTGTTAGTTTGGTATGTTATGTTATTTACAGTTGCCCAACCCTCATTGACTGCTCAGACACATACTGTCATCGTGACACTGTCACTGTCAGACAAGAGTATCATTTCTTACTGTGCAAACGAAGAACTTTGCCTCTTTCAGGCTCTACAAATTAATTTTGCAACAAAAAAGGTTCCTTCCTGTAACAAGACTCT